GCTCGGTGGCTCAGGCCTGTACTGCTAGCTACTCAGGAGACTGAAGAAGGAGTACTCCTGGCAGCACTAGCAACTTAGGGAGACTGGCTCAAAACAAAAGTACAAAGGGCTGTAGATGTAGCTCAGGGATAGAGGACCCCTGAGTACAATAATAAGAATAATACTTAGAAATAAATTTAACCAATGAAGTGCAAAATTTATATGCCTAAATCTATAAACTATTGCTGAAAAATTAAAGACCTAAATAAACAGAAAGATACCACATGTTCAAGGGTTGAAAGACATGTTTAAGGTTGTAATACTTTCAAATGGATCAACAGATCAGTATATTTCCTACCAAAAGTCCACTTGCTTTTTTTTTTTTTTTTTGTAGAAATGGAAAGGCCACTCATAAAACTTCACGTGGAAAAGCAAGAGGACAACCAAACCAATCTTGAAAAAGAACAAGTTAAGAATATTTACACTTTCTGATTTTGAGACCCAGTATAAAGTTACAGCAGTGAAGATAGTGTGGTCTGACATAATGATAGACAGAGAGCATATACAGATAAGCGGAACAGAATTCTGAGTCCAGAAATAGACCCATATATCTCTGGTCAATTGATTCCTCACAAAGATGCAAAGAACATTCAACAAGGAAAGGACAGTCTTTTCAACAAGTGGTACTGGGGCAACCAGACAGCCAGACACATCTACATGCCTTAAATCATATACAAAAATAAGCTCAAAATGGATCAAAGACTTAAGTATAAGAGCTAAAACTAAAACTCCTAGACGAAAACAGAGACAAATCTCTACTTTTAGATTAAACATTTCTTAGATGACACCAAAAGCACAAACAACTAAAAGCAGAAAAAAAACCAGATACATTATACTACATCAATATATAAAACTTAAATTGTGTATCAAAGGACACTATCAAGAAATCAACCCATAAAATGGGAGCAATTATTTATAAATCATATATATCTTTAAGGATGAGCATCCAAAGTACGTAAAGAACTCTTACAATTCAAGAATAAAAGACAATAAAATTTAACAACAGGTTCAGATCCCAACTGGATATTTCTCCAAAGATATAAAAGTGGCCCATATAATACGCAAGAAGTGCAACATCATGTCATTAGGAAATGTATGTCAAAATTACAATGAGGTAACACTTCATTTTCACTAAGACGACCAGAAGGCTATAACAAAAACCAGAAAATAGCAAGTAATGGCAAAATGCAGAGAAACTGAAACTCATATTACATTGCCAGTGGAAATGTAAACTGATGTAGCTGCTAGAAAAGTGTGGCTGTGTCTCAAAAAGCTAAACATTAGAGTTGCTATATGATCCAACATTCCATCCCTATATAGTAACCTAAGAAAACTAAAAAATAAACACTTTCAGACAAAAATTTGTATATGGAACCATGAGCATCATTCATAATAGCTAAAAGCAACCTAATGTCTATCAACCATGAATGTATAAACATAGTATATCCCTACAATAAGTCATGTATGGGGGAAGAACATTTCATGATACATATATGAAAGGACATCTACTGTATGATTGCTTTTATAGGGAATGTCCAATATAGGCAAATCTGAAAGACAGAAAAGAGGTTAGTGATTCCCAAGGCTCAGCAGAATGGGGAAATGGGGTAGTAACTGCTAACGATTACTGTTTCTTTTGGGGATGATGAAATTGTTTGCACCACCTTGTGAGTATATGGCAACCACAGGCTCTTATACTTTGAAAATAAAGAATTTCATAGCATATGGATCATTAACTTTTAAATGACTGTCACATATTGCTGATAGGACTGTACACTGATGCAATCTCATGAAGTTGAATTTTACAGTATTTATCAAAATTGCAAATACCACCTTCTCTTAAACCCAGAAAATTCCTTTTCCAAGAATGAGTCCTACAAATGTGTTCAAATATGTGCAAAATGCATATTCACAATGCATGGGCCTCACTTTGTCAAAAGACTGTAAACAACCTTATATGTCCATTATTATGTGACTAAAGAAATCATGATTTAGTCACTTAAATGCTACAATAAAAAATAATATAGAAGGACCTCAAATGCTACACAACAAAACAAAAAACACAGATGCAAACTATGTGAAGAGACTGTTAACATTCATATAAAAAGAAAAGAGAATACCTACATATGTATGTATAAGCATAAAGTAATTTTGGAGGGAGATACACAATTCAGAGAGCATTGTGTGCCTACCAAAGATGAGAACTGGATGCCTAGGTAACACAGTATGTGTGTATTTTCTACTTTAAAAACAGCATAAATTTGTAAAATAAGTATTAAATGAGTCCCAGGTCTTTCAGAAGAACACTAGTCCAAGGGTGGAAGGATCTGTGATCTAGTTCCACCAGTTAGAATTGCTTCCCTCATCTGTTTGATCAGTCTCTCATTGCCCTCTACCAAACTCAGGCTTTGTGCACTTTTCATCAAAGTACTAAGGTTGAAAACCTTTTCATTTGTGAGCATTAATAATTAAATATCTTAAACCTGAATTCACCTTCCTGTTTCAGTAAATTCCTAGCAGCAAAACAAGCAGTTCACACAACTGGAAAGGCACATAAAATGGGGCAACTCTACTATCAGATGGGTTTGTGGGTGTGCTATCTGGCATCTGCTAAATTGCGTACAAAGTTGCTCTAAGGAAACAAGAGTCTCAGAATCAAAGAAATGTAGACCTGGAAAGAACCTAGAGGTTAATCCAATTTCCAAATTTATTACATATTATTGTTATATGTGTTATTATATGTCCTATATAAGAGCCCAACTTTTGCTTATGTGGAAATGATGTCCAGAGCCGTAAGAGATCAATGCAATCAAGACTAATACCTACATCTCATCATTCTTAACCTGCACTCTTTACTCCAGACTTTTCTAAGTAAAACAACTAAAATTCAGGATTTCATGGGAGCATTTCATATAGGTTTGCCACTTTTCTAAGGAGACAGTTATGGAAAAGGCTCCTCTAAAGATTAATCTGGAATATGATCACCAAGTCCACAGACACAACTTTGAAGCAATTATTTTGAGCTCTGAAATAACCAATATATTTCATTTGACAACATCGAATTATGCACAACAAATGACTAAAAATAAGATGTGTTTCTATTTTACATTTAAGGTAGAAAATTTCTAACTTTTGATAGCTTCATTTTTTTTAATTGAGATGTTTAGGAATGACCTAAATGTCTAAAGATAAGGGGACTTTGTAGTAAATGCAAAGCTAGTTTTGCAGTATTTTTAGTGATTCTGTGTAGGCCATAATGGCATAATAGTTCTAGGTACCAACTTTGGAGTTCACTGCCCACTACTGGGGTCACTTGCCCTTTGACCTTGGGCAAGTTTCTTAACATTTTCTGGCCATGGTTTCCTTGTTATGTAATAATGATGCTAATAGTAGTACCTACTTCACAAGATTGTGGGAAGCATTAGCTGAGCTAAAGTTTACAAATGGCCCAGGACAGTGGACATAATAACATGGGTGAAAACACGACAAGGAGAATGGATGGGCCAGCCTGGCCGAGTAGGCCGCACTGAGAGGTCTCTACGGTTCTGGAGCACCTAGCATGAAGCCTTCTTTAGTTCTTATCCACAAGCTACTCAAAATACTCAAGGACCACTCCAAGCCTGACTATTGGTGACTGGTGCCAGGTCTGTGAACTCGTTGCTCAAGTGTGAGGTATGTGCCTGTCCGGGTCTGAAGGAAGCTGGAGAGTGAATGAATTGCCCTTCCATTCTTTCGCTGTGTGAGTTCAGCTCTCTTGACCACCACAGCACACACACGGACCCCAACAGACCGCCCCCTCTTCAGTCACTGTGCTGCTCCACAGCCTCTACTCCTAGAGTCCAGTGTGGGATGTAAGGAGCTGGACGCGGTAGGAAGCCAGGGAGTGCAAATGCTTTCTCTTTATGAAGTCTTCAGACACGAGAATAAGCTTGATTTGAAAGGCCATATAAACACATGGCAGGAAGGACAGGCTTCAAGGGTAGCCCCAACGGGCACAGTAATCTTGAAATGTTTACAGAACAGACAACTAACTAACACTCTCTCTCTCTCTCTCTCTCTCTCCTCAACACACAATATCAACAGTGGCAGCATGCACGACTGTATTTAATAAGATAGTGCAGCACCTTAATAAACAGGTCAATCTTACTCGGGTTGAAGGGGGGGAAAGTTCAATTTTATAAGCCTGACATAATTAGTGGATCAGGGAAAAACACAAGGATCAACATCACCACTTTCTAGCCGCGTGATTCTTCACGTCCTCCTGCATACCCAAGCTATTACCTTACCTCCAACGAGGTTAAAGATAACTACTTCAGTAGGAGCATGTCTGTAATTCCCGCGATGTGGAGGCTAAGAATTAAGGATCGCAAATTCGAGGAAAACTTGGGCAATTTAACAAGCCACTGTCTCAAATTTTAAAAAAATAAATAAAAATTTAAAGGCGGTTTGGGATCCTGGTGGAGTAACTCAGTGGTAGAGAACGTTTGGGTTCAAGCCCCAGTCGTGAATGGTTTGAGAATGGGTCTCGAACTCAGCGGCGACGCTCCTGCCTCAGGCTCTCTGAGTGCTGGGATTACAGAAATGCACCACCATGCCCCGCCAACTCTTAGTTAAAAAAAAAAAAAAAAAACGAAAACCTAGACCGCCTTTTCATTCATTTCTAGCCATTTATACATATGCGCTCTCTACTGTGCATTTCCTCTCCCAAAGACAGCGAGGTCTGTAAAGGGGACCCTTTAAAACGCCCATGAAGATGCCACTGGTGTTCCGCACGAGCTCCGCCTCCACAGGCAATTAGGCCGGTGTCTAACCCCGGCCCTCGCCGCAGAGTCGCCGCCGGGTATCTTCGCGCACAGCGCACCCACCGCCTCCCCTTCCGCGCCTGCGCACTCTGTAACCCGCACAGCTGCGCAAGCGCAAAGCCTGGGCCGCGCGTGTGCAGAGGCCGGCGGGTAGCGCACCTGGTAGCGGCCGGTGAGCAGCTGGCTCCGCGACGGCGTGCAGAGCGGCTGCGTGTAGTAATTGTCCAGCCGCACCCCGCCGGCCGCCAGCGCATCTAGGTGCGGCGTGCGGAGGCGCGACCCATGGAAGCCCACGTCGTTCCAGCCCAAGTCGTCAGCCAGCACGAGGACCAAGTGCGGTGGCTGGTCCTGCCCGGCGCCTGAGCTCGGCGGCGCGAGCAGCAGCAAGAGAAGCGGCTGGAGCAGCGGGCCGGCGCCTCGGGGCCGCCCCATGTCGCGCGCCAGTCTCGGGTATGCGCCGCCACAGCCTCTGTCGCGGAGAGAACGGGAACAGGGTGGGAGTATCCCCACCCCGCCTCGGCTCCACCCCCAGCCTGGCCGCAGCCCGCCCCCAGCGCCTCTGAGCGGAACGGACTCGGCTCCCTGGAACCCCAATAGTTCCCCTCAAGGCCGCTGTCCTGGCGGCGAGTCGCACACCCCGGCATTCTAAAAGAGATGGTTCACTTTGATACCCCTCACAGTTTACACCACATATTCACAGTCATCACCATCTTCCAAGTTCTGATAGCAGCCCTGTTGCTCGCCTGGTCCCTAATGCCTCTTGTTTAGTAGAAACAAGGCCCGCTGCTGTACCTATAGGCGGCCTCGAAACCATCTTGAGGGTGCAGTTTTACTTGGGGGCGGGGGAAGTTCCAGAGAGGTGAATCGTCAATGGGAAGCTGGTCATCATGTCCCTGCACGGGCCCATTGAGGGCTGGCTTCTCCCCCAGCAGTAAACCAAAAAAGTGCGGTATGAAATTTGCCTGAAATGTTTATGTGGATTCTTTGTCCACATGCTTGGAGAAGTTAGCCTGGTGACCAGCACGTTCCCATTACCAGCAGACTTTGCTTACTCCATGTCTAAAGACAAATTGCAGCTCCAGGCCTAGGGAAAATGTTTACATCACTTAAGGAACATAGGCTTGAGACTGATGCTGATTTCAGAGGAGATATTTCACATCTTTGTAAAATGCAGATGATGGTAGTCACAAAAATAAATCTTGTTACTATATACAGATGAGCTCTGAAGTAGAGTGACAACCCTCCCCCTTCAGCACCATTAAAAGGGAAAAAATTTGACCTCCACTGGCACATTTAATCCAGTTCTGTGCTTTCCACTGGTTTTAGCAGGTGACAAGGACCCTTATTGAATTAAAATCTTACATATTCATTTCCACATCTGTGTGAGAGACATGATTTTACCTTTTTTTAAAATGGAAATTATGGTTTAATACATGAAATGTTTCCCTTATATACTTAAATTTGTTTCCTAAGACTTTTAAATTTGTACATTGGTTTATGTTACATCTGCCTTTCATCTTTGATTAAATTCAACAGGAAAAAGTTTATGTTAGCGTCAGCTAAATTAAAAAAATAATTTTGAAAATGTTTGTGACTGTATCAAGGTTTCGATTTTTATTTAAAGATCTTGGAGGAGACAGAATTTCCACTGTGGTCCTTTCCTTTCCTAACTGTTCTTGTGTATCCTTTATGAAATCAGATTGCTCAAATAATTGCTGCCTAGCTGCACATGCACTTCCTCCTTCGGCCAACTGATCCTGAAATGAAATGTGTGCCAATCAGCTCATGTCTTACATTTTCAAATATGAGTTTATACTATTGGTTCTCTGGAATAGTCCAAATGGAAGATTAATTTTAGTTTTCAGCTATGTGTTTAGACGTTCATGCTGTGTGATTCAGGACAATCATTCTGTAAAATCTCTCAGAGGGACTTTTCTACTGTCTCATGGTTAAAGTCACCTGTGTGTGGAGCCTCCTGGGCCAGTGTGTTGCACTTCTCACTTCAGACTCATGGGCGTGTGATGTTGACTTGTTCCCTAATGGGATACTTCCCTAAAGGAGTCATTTCCCCACAGAAATGTGACTATTTCCCCCTTGTAACTAGCATTTATGGAGAGATACTTTAAGAATATGTAAATATCTTGTTATTCCTCAAACTTTGGCTTACTAGTTTGCTTCTTGCTTTAATCAGAATGGCTGTCAAATGGTAATATTCTGATATGCTACATTCCTTTCATTATTTCAGTGTTTGAATTTTCAGATTGGGCTGTGGGAGCACTGTCAGTTTGGCTTTTGTGTCATTTTGGCACGTCCTTTTTTGATCTTGAAATATTTCTTTTTTGGGACAAAAAGTGAGATTTTCTAGGTTCATCATGTATTTTCTTCAAGGAAAACGGATTCATTTTAGTGTAAGATGGCATTTAGAAACCAAGATATGTACTTGATTTAGATGTGTTTATTGCCACTGTGTTCATCGGATAATCATAGGAACTGGATTATGTATCCGTACACTCATTCGTAAGTGTTCATATATACACCTCTATCTATGTGTGTAGTAAACCATAAGCTCACAGTATCTCCAATTCTCCTTTCTCCCTCTTTCCACATGTGTGTGGATTTCAACAGTTTTCATTATCTTCCAGCTATTAAAAGTTGCTATATTAAAGACATTTGGACATTCCTTAGAAAACTAACCAAACTTTTACTGTGACCTAGCAACTGCGTATGTTGTTATCTACCTAAAAAACCTGCACAGACATGTTTACAGCAGCTGTACTCAGTTGCAAAACTGAGTACTCTGGAAGCAACCAAGATAATCTTCATTTAGGTGAATAAACTGTGATACGTCCAGATGGTGGAACATTATTTGGTGCTAAAGAAAGAAAGAAGCTATCAAGACATGAAAATATGTGGAAGAATCTTAAATACATATTGCTAAGTGAAAGTGAAAGAAGCCAGTCTGAAAAGTTTGCATACTGTTGATTCCAACTATATGGCATTCTGGAAATGACAAAACTATAGAGAGAGTAAAAAAGATTAGGGATGGGAGGATAAATAAATGGAGCTCAGAGGATTTCAGGGCAATGAAACTATTCTTCATAATACTGTAATGGTGGATACATTTGTCCAAACATACCAATGATGTACACCATAAAGAATGAGTCCTGAAGACTATTATGGGCTATCTATTATCTTGGTCCATTTTGTGTGGCCATAACAATATCACAAACTGGATAATTTAGAAGGAACAGAATTTTATTTGCCTCACAATTAAGAAGTCTGGGAAGCTCAAGAATTTGAAATGGGAAATATCTGCACCTTTATCTTGATTTTTCTGTGAACTCAAAGCTATTCTAAAAGAACATACTGACTGATAGGTTTGTGTCACTTAACAAGAATGTATTCCAAGAAATGGAAAACAGTTCTGTCATACAAACATCCAGAAATGTATTTATGTAAATATAGTAAGTAGGCTATGTCAGGCCTAGGCAACATATTCTTATGGAACAACCATGTATATACAGTCTGTTATTAAATGAAATATCCTATGACACATAGTACTTTCTAATTTTGCCAGTCTGCTAGAACTATCTGACAGCTGGGCATAGTGGTGCACACCTGTAATCCTAGCTACTTTGGAGCCTGAATGTCTTTATTACTTTTCTCTCATTACTGGGACAAAATACTCAACACTCAAAATGAAGGAAGGAAAGGTTTATTTGGCTCACTGTTTGTGGAGGTTTCGGTCCATAATCAGCTGGCTCCAAGGCCAGGTGGCATGGCACAGGGACAACACCTCAAGGCAGCAGCCAGCAAAAGCCAGAGTAAAAGCTGGGGAAGAGCAAGCCTCTTCTCTTTTATATTATACACAGGCCACCCCCCACCCCTCCAGGGCCAATGTAGAGCTCACAGAATCTCCTTGTCCTCCTCTAGCATAAGATGAGGATGGTTACAAAGTAAGAACCTTGGTTCCCTGTTAAGTTTGTTACCTGAACTTTTAAACTTCTCAAGTTGACATAATGTATCAATCATAACACTGAGGTAGGAGGATCACAACTTTCAGGCCAGTCTGGAGGAGCTATGGATAACTTGTAAAATAAATAAATAAATAAATAAAATGGGCTGGGGATGTAACTCTGTGGTAGAGTGTTTGTCATCCATGCATGAGGCCCTGAGTTCAATCAGTATATTGCAAAGAAGGATGAGGGAATCCTATACAGTCAACAATCTGTCATTTTTGGTTAGAGTTTTGGTCAAGTGTCAATTTTTTATGATGTTTTTAACACGTAAGAGTTTTTTATAATGTTAGTCAAATTTATTTTCTTTTATTACATCTATATTTTGAATAATCATTAAATTGTATACACATATTGAAAGCAAAATTTACCCATTTTTTTTCTTGTAGTATTTTTACAGTTCCAGTTTTCACATTTAGACCCCTGATTGGTACATTGGTATTTATTTTTGTGTATGGTGTTGGGCATGGACCATTGTTCTTTTGTCCCATGGATGCCTGTCTGTCCCAGAACCATGGACAAAGTGCATCTTTGTCCCAGTAATACACAATGCCAGCTTTATTGTATTCTTAATTTCTGTACACACACTGGTCTATTTCTGGGCTTTCTGTTCTATTCCATTGGCCTAATCCCATGGTATTAGATTGTCTTGGTTATGTTGACTTTTACATATGGTTTAAAGCATGATAGGTCAGTGACTTCTCATAAACTCTACTTTGAGTGTTTTCTAAATTATTCTTGCATTTTAATTTTTTCATATAAATTTCTACATCAACATATCTAGTTCCATTAAAAAGTTTTTGGTGTTTTATTGGAATTGAATTTATGACCAAAATCTTTGTGATATACAGTTGTTATATTAAAAAAGCCCAAAGTTGTCTTTCTGCTTATTAAGTCTACTTTTATACTGTTTAGAAGTGTTTTTAAATTTTCCTCATATCAATTTTATACTTTTGTTCTTATTAAATTTATTGATAAATATTTTCTCAGGTGCTTTTTGAGATGATATTATTTTTCTACTTTTGTAACCTTTAGCTGTTTATTCTGTGTGGGCCTTAAAATTGATGATGGTATGATAATTCTATGTGTCAATCTGTATCCCTCCAATGATTGAATTTAGTTATTATTTGAATTAGCTTAATCATTCATTTAGGGTTTTCCTGTTACACAGTTATATCATTAAAAAAATTTCTAGTTGGGAAAATGCAAAACTTAGGACTCCCAAATATTTTTCACGTAGAAATGATATTATGCATAACATGGATAACATTATAATCCATATAAAACCTGTGAAACCCATAGGCAAAATCTGTTACAACAACTAAAGTCAATAAGAAAAAGACCAACAATCCAACATACAAATGAACAAAATATAGAAATATAATGGTCCACAGGAAAGAAAATTTAAATGGCCACTAAATATATCCACAGATACTCAAGGCCACTCAAAGGATATTTAAATAGAAACTTCAGTAATATCCCACTGATACAAGTAATAACTCACTACTTTGGAGATGGTGTAGAGAAATAAGCCCTCTTACACATTAGTCACAGATCTGAAATTTGGTTCAACCTCAAAGGG